GACAGTGAGAGAGAGAGACAGAGAGAAAGGCCTTCCTTTGCCGTTGGTTCACCCTCCAATGGCCGGTGCGGCCAGCGCACCACGCTGATCCAAAGCCAGGAGCCAGGTGCTTCCTCCTGGTCTCCCAGGCAAGTGCAGGGCCCAAGGACCTGGGCCATCCTCCACTGCACTCCTGGGCCACAGCAGAGAGCTGGACTGGAAGAGGAGCAATCGGGACAGAATCCGGTGCCCCGACCGGGACTAGAACCCAGGGTACCAGCGCCGCAGGCGGAGGATTAGCCTAGTGAGCTGCAGCGCCGGCCGAAAATGATTACTTTCAATGCTGAATAAGCCATCTTAGAGAAAAAGGTAATTAGAAGAGGGCTAATTAAATTGTATACACACAGAAACATGGGAGCAGGGGCACTTAAAAAATTCGTAGAAAAATGGAATTAAAAGATAATCTACTGGGTCAGCGTTGTGAAATAGCAGGTAAAGCCACTGCCTGAGATGCTGGCATCCCATATGGGCATCAGTTGGAGACATGGCAGCTCCACTTCCGATCCAGCTCCCTGCTGATGTGCCTGGGAAAGCGTGGAGATGACCCACAGGCTTGGGTCCCTGCACCCACATGAGAGATCTGGAAGAAGCTCCTGGCTTCAGATGGGCCCAGCTCCGGCCGCTGTGGCCATTTGGGGAGATGGAAGATCTCTCTCTCTTTATCTCTGTAACTCTGCCTTTCAAATAAATAAATCTTTATTTAAAAATTTATTTTTAAAGATTTATTTATGGCCGGCACTGTGGCTCACTAGGCTAATTCTCAGCCTTGCGGCGCCGGCACACCGGGTTCTAGTCCCGGTAGGGGCACCAGATTCTGTCCCGGTTGCCCCTCTTCCAGGCCAGCTCTCTGCTGTGGCCAGGGAGTGCAGTGGAGGATGGCCCAAGTGCTTGGGCCCTGCACACCATGGGAGACCAGGAGAAGCACCTGGCTCCTGGCTTTGGATCAGCGCGGTGCGCCGGCTGCAGCGTGCCGGCCATTGGAGGGTGAACCAACGGCAAAGGAAGACCTTTCTCTCTGTCTCTCTCTCTCACTGTCCACTCTGCCTGTCAAAAAAAAAAAAAGAGTGAACTTTAAAAAAAAAGATTTATTTATTTGAAAGGCAGAGTTAGTGTGAGACAGAGAGGAAGAGAGAGAAGGAGAGGGAGGAGGGAGAGGGAGAGAGGGGGGAGGGGAGGGGGGGAGGAGAGAGAGAGAGAGAGAGAGAGAGAGAGGAGAGAGAAATCTTCCATTCACTGGTGCACTCCCCAAATGGCTACAGTGGCCTGGGCTGGGCCAGGCCTAAGCCAGGAGCTTGGAACTCTATTGGGGTCTTTCAAACTGGTGTAGGGGACCAGGGACTAGAGCCATCTTCCAGTGCTTTCTCAGGTGTATTGGCAGGGAACTGGATCTGAAGTGGAACAGCTACTTGAACAGATGCTCATATGAAATGCCAGGATCACAGCCAGTGGCTTCACACAATACTGGTTCCAAAAGGTTAGGGGCAGGTATTTGGCTAGGTGGTTAGAATGCTGGTTAAGATGCTTACACCCCACATCAGAGCACCTGGGTTCCAGGCTCTAGTCCCTGACTCCAGCTTTCTGCTGATGCAAACCCTTGGAGGCAGCGGCAATGGTTCAAGTAATTGGGTTCCTGCTACCCACATGGGAGTCCTGAATTGAGTTCTCAGTTCCCAGCTTCTGTCCTGGCTGAGACCCACCCATTGTGGGTATTTAGGGAATGAACCACTGGAGGGAGGGCTCAGTGTGTGTGTGTGTGTGTGTGTGTGTGTGTGTTTCAGCTCAGAAAAATTACTAAACTGAGCTTTTGTGTTTAGTTAGACATCCAGCGAGGCTGTTTAGGCATAAAGTGGTATGTTCCCAAAATGGTTTTCAGATCAGGGAAAAGATACCTACTTTGCTCCAAATATATCATACAATGTTATAACTATTATCTTATGCACAGTACTAGATTTGAATAGGTATAACTCTTTAGGGCTGAGGTAGAGAATGTTTTCAAAAAAAATCATTGTACAAAGGAATGCATGACTTTTTAGAACAGGATATTTACAGAAAGCTTGATGACCTCAGCTAAGTGTATCCTAGGTTTTCTGTGGCTATATGTGGGAGGGAATAAACTTGAAGTCTGAGAGGAGAACTTGGAGGAGGAGAAAAAAAAATACATTGGGGAACACACAGGGGATAGTGAGTATGCAGACGACATCACTAGAATATAATTCCCAGTTAGGTAATCAACTCAGAGTTGTGAGTAGACAGGATAGATGCTTTATAAATATTTGCTAACTATTATATGATAAAACTAGGTAAATATTGTGTTCAAATAGGATCTAGCTTGGCTTGTAGTTCTAGTTTATTAAACCTTTTCTGTGCTTTATTTTCCAGCTCATTAATCTCTACATATATTCTCTAAAATGTCTTCTAGTTTTCTATTCCTCTATGTTTGCTTAGAAAGGTAAATATACAAAATATTAACAAGATAATAGCCAAATCTAGATTGGATCTGGAAAAAAAAATTTATTTCATATATTTAACAGGGTGGGTAGGTTTTCTATAAAAACCATGAATCAAAGCCGGCGCCGTGGCTCAATAGGCTAATCCTCCACCTTGTGGCGCCGGCACACCGGGTTCTAGTCCCGGTCGGGGCACCGGATTCTGTCCCGGTTGCCCCTCTTCCAGGCCAGCTCTCTGCTATGGCCAGGGAGTGCAGTGGAGGATGGCCCAGGTGCTTGGGCCCTGCACCCCATGGGAGACCAGGAAAAGCACCTGGATCCTGGATCCTGCCATCGGATCAGCGCGGTGCGCCAGCTGCAGCGGCGGCCATTGGAGGGTGAACCAACGGCAAAAGGAAGACCTTTCTCTCTCTGTCTCTCTCTCTCACTGTCCACTCTGCCTGTCAAAAATAAAAATAAAAAAAAAAAACATGAATCAGTTAAAAATAATTTTTTTCTCCTTCTTAAACTTAGCTCTACAACCAAACAAGACCATTTGAAGAAAGTGTATCTTACATAGTTTTTCTATCCAATGTTTCAATTCCTCTCTGAACAATTTTTGCTCTTTGGACTTTCCAATCACCTAAAAATCACTTCTAACAAACAACTCATAGTTTAAGCCATCTTACAGATGAGGAAAAAGTTCATAGCTAGTGTCCTGAAAGAGACAGTGGTCTCTAATAACACTATTATCTCAACAATTCTCAAGGGAAAAAACATTTTTAGTATAATAAAAGAAAATAGTCCCATAAAGAATATTTTCCCTGAAACATAAGTCGTTCACTGTTGGCAATAAGATATTGTGTTACCTAACATTACCATGTTTATATATAACTTGTAGTTCTGAAAAGTATTTTGACATTCCTGTACTATTTCACAGTGCTTCTTCTGAAAAGGACCAAGTGCTGTATAGGGATTTGGAATATGGTTTACAAGGCACAAAGAAAAGAGAGAGAGAAAACTATATCAAGTACAATATTTACAGTTAAGGTGACTTGGTGGAATAAACTCCCCAATCAAGAAACCTGTTTCTAGTTCCAGTTCTGCCTGCACCCAGCTATGTGACTTTCTGTGAGTCACATATTTCTGAAACTGCAAAGTGGCTTTTATCCAACAATTTTCGTCTTAAATTTGGCTTTCTACAAATCTACTACAATTAAAGGATTTTCAAATATTGTATTACAACAACAGCGCAACTAAGGATACATCATTTTCCCATATGGAGTTGGTTATCACTTTTGCCTCAATCTGACCAGAAGCCTTGCTCCCGATCACGTAGGTTGCATATTCAAGATGTACTCTGGAGAAAGAGGAGCCGCGGAAAGACTTTTATATGATGGGATGTTGCGGGCAGGTTAGGGAGCTAAATAATGAGTGCATATGTATGCAGAAGACCCAGCAAGTCATTCTCAAATCAGCAGCAATGAAGAAGCAATCTGCATCAACGGTGATGGGGAGTGAGGGGAGGTGGATGAGGGGGCAATTCTAAAAAGATCTGAGGAAAGTCTTGAACTGAGGCTGTCAGATAATCACCATCTTCACTTTTCCAAGCCCTTATTCCCACACTGGACACCAAACCAGTCCCAGTTCCGGGTTCCCAACCAATCGCATCAGGCCACAACAGAGGGTTCTGCCAAACCGGGCACCGTTTCAGGGCTCCAGAGGGAGATTCACACAACCCCAGCACCTGTCGGCTTTACACCCTTTCCTTACGGAGCGGGTGCAAGAGAAACTCCAGGGCTGTCCTCGGTCCCCGCCAACCTGGGTACCGCCAGGTCCACATGCCCTGGAAACTGCACCAACCCGCCTGCTTCGGGGTTTCCGGGGAGCCCCTCAGCCGTGACCCTCCCTCGCCCAGGGCTCATTCTCCCGCTTACGGGTCCCAACCCTGACCGTGGTTTTTCAGGCCGCGGGGACCCGGGCCTGGGAAGCGGACAGATGGCTAGAGTGAAGGCGGTGGGGGAGGGAGTACTCTTCGCTACCGACGGAAAAGACAGGAAAGCAAAAGCAAGGGAGGGTGTAGCTAGCAGTGTCGCCCCTCGGCGAGGGCGGGAGGCCGTCGGCGCGTCTGTCATTCCCTCACACACTCACCAGGAGCAGCAGGGAGCATCTGAGGTCGGGTAAGGATATGAAGACAGCAGGATTCATGGTAACGCTGGGGTCTGCGGCAGGGACGGCGTTGGCGGATGGGGTTGGGCTGGGTTAGGAGAGGGCTGGGCTCCGGGAGGCGGCGGCAGCGGAGGATTCTCCCAGCAGCTGCACCTCGTCCTCTCGACCCGGAGCTCCAGCGGCGAACACCCGGGACAACTTCCAGAGGGGCCTCGCACACCCTCACTTCCGGGTCCTGTCCTCCTCAGAGCATGTCGGGAAATGTAGTCCTGCACTTCTCTCACTGGCTACGTCGGCGAACATCTAGAACTGCTTTTCCCATTAGGCTCTCGGCCCAGGCCCACCGAGCCCTCTGCGCGCGGCGCCCTGTGGGATACAAAAGGCGGAGGGCGGTGTACCTCTGCTTTTGCGAGGATGGGAACTACGATTCCCAGAAGGCTATGCGGCAGAGCGCCTAGGGCGGCCTTCTGAGGGTCTCTACCACCTTCCGCGCGGTGGGGTGTGACCCTGCCGGCGTAGTGTCCTGGCTTGGCGGGAGGGGCGGCCCCGTGGGGGTCTTGCCTCTTGGAGCCGCCCCCGGGACGTCAGTCCTGGAGGAGGCGAGGGTGAGTAGGAAGGGGCCCGACTGGGAGGCTCGGACCGATCGGTCCTGGCCCCTACCGCAGACTCCAGGCCCTCCTGGCCTAGGCTGTGGCCTGAGCCTCCATCACTGGCCTCCTCGCCTGCTGCCTCTTCTTTCTGTGCTAATTCCTGAGTTGTTAAGTGAGAGCCAAGGCTCAGGGCCTTCGTGAGTCAGTGACTTATCCCTAATTGTCTCTGAGGGCTCCTGCAAGCTATAGATAAAGAATGCAGAAACACGTTGTAAACCGAAAAGCTCAGTGCAAGAGTGCTTGCTACTAATAACTGATCACTCCTGCTGGGTAATGACAAAATTCCTTGACTACACTAGTCGAGGGTCTTAACCTGGCTCCAGGTTGCTCTCCAGCGTCTTCGTAAGCACCCAGCCAGGTCCACGCACCCTAAAGGATGGCCACACAGTCACTACTAAGTATCCGGAAGGAACCCTGCCCGTCTCCCTGCTCCCTTTGCTTCAGCTTTCCTGCTGCCTGCAATGCCCTTTCCCCCTTCTTTTTCTGGAATGCCCTCTCACATGTCACCATCTATGACAATTGTCTCAACCAATCTCTTCGTCCTGGTCAGAATTCCCCCTCCTCTGGCTGTGACTGCAGCGCCACTGTTTTGTACAGTTATAATTTTTAGAGCATTCATTACAGTGGCTTGTTTTATAACTAGTTAATGATGATAGCTATGCATTTTATAGCACTTTAATAACGTGGTTTTGATTTTTATTTGTAAAAACGATTTAAAAACAAATTAGTGCTGAAATTATATATGCATTTGTGTTTTTAAAAAAATCCTAGAGAATGGCTCTCCCAGAGTGACAAAATTAGATACTGACAGAGCCAATACTCTTATTCAGATCTTCTGATTACTTTGGTCAGTGCTCTTATGCATATACCAGTCATCTACCTCTCTGACAGAAACCACATGTAGTTGAAAAGGGAAATTTAGAAAGAGCTGGACTCGTGAGTATTAACTCATTATTCTAAGAAAGTAAACTTTGGTCCTGCTCACCCTTTGGACCCAGCACTCAACCTATGATCTTTCATCCAACAAATATTGACTGAGCACTAGCTATATACCTGTGCTGTGCAATAAGCATGTATATTACCAAGATCCAATTATTAGTGTGTTTTTCCAAACGCTGTAAGAACTTTTTTGTAATTCTAATGTGCCTAAAATTCTTACCACTTAGAATCTAAAACGACAGGTCTCAGAGTTCAGAATAATGCCCAACACACAGTTGGCACCCAACTTGAATAAATGAATGGGTTTCTGTAATTTTGCATATATTATAGAAACCCAGAAAGCTCAAGTAACCAAAGGACATGCTACTTATAACACTGGGCCTAGGAGCCATGCGTCATTCTCTACCATGTCTCCACCCGTTAAGTACCCGTTTTGTAGCTTCTTTCAAGTGACTTCAATATAATTCTACTTGTGGCAGTGGCTCTTCTGACATGCAAGACATGCTCAGACATGACAGAATTGTCTTGCCACATCCTGTTCCTTCATATTTTTTGCCAGCATGTTAACTCAAATTATCAGCAAAGTAAAGACATTAAGAGCTGACCTTTACCATAATTAGGAAAATATTTTCTCTGGAAGGCAGAATTTGAACCAGAAATCCTTGTCAATAACAACATGAGTGAGTACTCATCAGCTGTGGTAAATTTATCTTACAAAGATTCCATATTCCCTGAAGTCACAGAGATTGGAGAGACAAGCTTTTTGGTGACATCAGTAAGACTTGTCTACCTTTGTGGCAGTAGTTAACTGGAGCTGATTTAAAACTACTCCCTTTAGATAAGTAGCTGTGCCCCGCTTTGCCATGGTCTCGATGATCCCTGAGTATCTACTCTTGATACCGCCTGGGGCCCTGTAGACGTCCAGCTGGAACTTTGATAGTGCCTCGTGGGTTTAGGAAAGGTGCCTGAGATCGCTGATGCAACTACTACTCCTTCCCTCCCAGCAGCTGCTTCACTTCTTCCTCCATTTGTGACAATGTCCAGTCTCTGCTTGAACACTCTCATAATGGAGATAACTATCTTCCTGTGCAACGGGTACATTTCTAGAAGGTTCCAACAAACCACATCAGACTACTAGTGAGAACAAAATTTTCTTTCATGAAATATGGTTAACCCGTATGATGAGGTGTTCCAAGAAAGATTGAAAGGTCAAGATCTTCGGCAAAATATATTTTTCTAGTGGTCCAAGCAGAGTACAAATAAAAATTTCACATTTTGTGAGCATGAGAAGAAGAATTAGATATCTTAATTTAGTACTTGAATCTAGTTAATTATGACTTAATCATATTTATATATTGTACTTTATGTGGCTTGCCTCTATTTTTTTTTTAAATGTGTTTTATTTTTTGAAAAGGCAGACTTAGAGAAAGGGAAAGATAGAGATCTTCCATCTGCTGGTTCATTCTCCAAATGGCTGCAATAGCCCGGGCTGGGCCAGGCTGAAGCCAGGAGCCAGGAGCTTTATCAGGTCTCCCATGTAAGTGCAAGGGCCCAAGCACTTGGACCATCTTTCACTGCTTTGTCAAGGCACATTAGCAGGGAGCTAAATCAGAAGCCACCAGAACTCCATCCAGTGCCCATAGGTGTCACAGGCAGTGCCTTAACCCATTGTGCCACAACACCGGCCCCTTGCCTATCATCTTCATTCATATCAATTCTAATGTTTAATATTATATGGAATCGTATTACCTGGATTAACTGAGAAGTATCAGTCCTGTGTGTACTGTTAAATACTGTTTTGATTTTTAACTCAGCCTCTGAGAAGGGCCCTAGAAGCACCTAACACTCATTTGACAGATGATCAACTTGCACAAAGATCACCTTTTTGCCATATTATGGCAATTCTAGAACTAGTATCACAGTTTTTTTTAATTCTCAGCAAACATTAACCCTAACCCCATTTAATCAGATACCCACTTGAAACTATTGAGACAGGTCTTGAAATGTTTCCTGCATGTACTCATGTTCTGAACCATGGTTTCAGGTTGCTGCAGTTGTTGGAAAGACCATGAACAAGTCAGAGAACTTGCTCTTTACTGGCTCCTCGTTAGCATCACAAGTTCATGCTGCTGCTGTTAATGGAAATAAGGGTGCTCTCCAGAGGCTCATCACAGGTAAGCAGTCCTCTTCCAAACAGAACCTTAAAAAAAAATTCTTTGTCCTAAGCAAGTTTAAGAATCTTAGTTTTAGTTCACAATGTACATATCTGCATTATGAGAATATTTTATACCAAGATTTGGACCAAAAAACAATTAAGTCCTAAAACAAAAATATAGATTAGGCTTAGGTGAACAGTACTTGAGTAATTTCTATGTATTTGGCCCTGAAATTAGATATACAAAGGCACATCAAAATGTTTGTTAAAAAAAGTAATTAAGGGCCAGCGCCATGGCTCACTAGGCTAATCCTCCGCCTGCGACTCCAGTACCCCGGGTTCTAGTTCCGGTTGGGGCGCCGGTTCTGTCCCAGTCGCTCCAATTCCAGTCCAGCTCTCTGCTGTGGCCCAGGAAGACAGTGGAGGATGGCCCAGGTCCTTGGGACCTGAACCTGCATGGGAGACCAGGAGGAAGCACCTGGCTCCTGGCTTCAATCTGCACAGTGCGCTGGCCGTAGCGGCCATTTGGGGAGTGAATCAACGGAAGGAAGACCTTTCTCTCTGTCTCTCTCTCTCACTGTCTAACTCTGGCTGTCAAATAAAAAAAAGTAATTAAAAGATAAGTTTATTTTGCTGTAAAAAATTAGAATACATGCAAAGAGGGCTATTCAAAAGTTCATGAGAAATGCATATTATGAAAAAGCTATGTGTGGATTTCAGAAATTTGTTGCACCAAAATAAACTAAGCTTTACATCTCTCTTTCTCTTTTTTTAATATTATTTATTTGAGAGGCAGAGTTACAGACAGAGAGGAGGAAAGACAGAGAGAGAGAGGTCTTCCTAGCATGTTCACTCCCCAAATGGCTGCAATGGCTGGAGCTGGGCCAATCAGAAGCCAGGAACCAGGAGCTTCTTCCGGGTCTCCCATGCAGGTGCAAGGGCTCAAGCACGTGGGTAATCATCTGCTGCTTTCCCAAGCCATTAGCAGGGAGCTGGATCAGAAGTGGAACAGCTAGGACTCTAACCAGCACCCATATGGTATGCTGGCAGCACAGGCAGAAGCTTAACCTACTGCACCATGGTGCCGGCCCCTAAACTTAGCTTTTAATTCCATTTTTCCATGAACATTTTAAAATTTATTTGTATTTATTTGAAAGGCAAATAAAGACAGACACAGACAGAGGAAAATCTTCTATCTGCTGCTTCATCCCTTAAATCCCTACAACACCCAGGCTGAAGCCAAGAGCCCAAAACTCCAACATGAGTAGCAAGGACCCAAGTACTTGAGCCATCACCTGCTCCCTCCCACTATGTGTATTAGCAGGGAGTTAGAATCCGAAGGAAAGCAGGGACTCAAATGCAAGTATTCTGATATGAGATGCTGACATCCCCTGCAGTATCTTACCTTCGTATACTCCAAAGTGCAGAGAAATTAATTCATTTTTTTAAATATTTATTTATTTACTTGAAAGTCAGAGATACACAGAGAGAAAGAGAGGCAGAAAGAGAGAGAGAGAGGTCTTCCGTCCTCTGGCTCACTCCCTACTTGGCCTCAAATGCCAGAGTTGGGCTGATATGAAGCCAAAAGTCAGGAGCCTCTTCTGGGTCCCCAAGGACCTGGGCCATCTTCCACTTCTTTCATAGGCTACAGCAGAATGCTGGATCAGAAGTGGAACCACCAGGGCTCGAACTGGCGCCCATATGGGATGCTAGCACTGCAGGCAGCGGCTTTACCCACTACACCACAGCGCCAGCCCCAAAGTTAATTCATTTTTATAATATCCAAAATCTATAGTGAGACAGTAGATACTGACCTTTCATCATTTAGTACATATTCAAAATACTAATAATTATTTCCTAGTGATTTAAAATGAATCCAGTCTTCTCCTTATCATTTATATATATACAAAAATATATACAGATCTGAAGTAGAAATTCAGGAGAGAGAGAACAAAATGATTAGGGGAGAGACAGGGTTCAATAGCAGAATGACTAAGAATTTTCTGGACCTGTAAAACATATCCACATATTCAAAGACCCAAAAATAAAATAAAATAAAATAAAAACACATATTTTTTACAGTCTTTTTATGCACAAATTTCTGGTGACATCATGACGGACAAATTGGCCTGCAAAGTCAAGTCTAAACTACTTGAACTTTCATACTTGTTCTTTTAGAATTTATTTTCATTTTCAATTTCTGATTCCTTCAGGAACTTCTTCCCATGTGCCCTAACCTTTGGCTAGGCTAAACATTAATTCTTTTCCTTGTTTCACCATGAACTTTGTCTCACTTTTTTCTATACTGTTCCCTCTCCTCTTCTCTGTCTTCCATCCTCTTACATTCTTCTCTACTATACAATCTCATACTCATCTTCAAAGACAAAATTATTTTACCATTTAGTCTATGAAGATTTTTTTTCTCCATCAGTCACGTTAATCCCCACTTCACCTCAGCTACCTACATGCACAGTTCTTCTCTGGAACTTGGCATCTTCCAGTACCTCCATATCACTCATCCAACTATGTATATGCATGCATCTTTATATTCAGATCTAAAACTCTTTAGCTTCTACCTCACTTACTAATGAGAAACTGTAGCTTTTCAGCATTACTAAGACTTTTTTTTTTTTTTTTGACAGGTAGAGTGAGAGAGAGAGAGAGATTGAGAGAGAGAGAAAGGTCTTCCTTCCATTGGTTCATTCCCCAAATGGCTGCTATGGCTGGTGCTGCGCCAATCCGAAGCCAGGAGCCAGGTGCTTCTTCCTGGTCTCCCATGTGGGTGCAGGGACCCAAGCACTTGGGCCATCCTCTATAGCCCTCCCAGGCCACAGCAGAGAGCTGGACTGGAAGAGGACTAGAACCAGGACTACAACTGGTGCCCATGTGGGATGCTGGCGCCACAGGCGGAGGATTAACCAAGTAAGCCACGGCGCCGGCCCCACTTTTCAGCATTACTAAGACTTCTAATCCATTATCTTCTCTAATTTCAGCCATCAGTTTTCTTCTGTCATTACCTTCCTCGCAGCTCAGGCCTGATTCCATAAAAATCTTTTTCTTGGGGCAAGCAGTGTGGCACAGCAGGTTAAGCCACTGCTTTGAATACCCATACCCCATATCAGAGACATAGCTGCTCTACTCCTAATCCAGCTTCCTGCTAATGTTCCTGGGAAGCAGGAGATGATGGCCCAAGTGCTTGAGTTCCTGCCACCTACATTGGGGATCCAGCCTGACCCAATGCTGGCTGTTGTAAGCATTTGGGGACTGAACCTGTGGTTCACTCTTTATTTCTCTCTCTCTCTGTCATTTTGCCTCTCAAAAAATAAATAAATAAATAAATATCTATCTATATCTATATCTATATCTATATATATATATATATATATATTCTTTTGGGGCCAGTATTGTATTAAGCTGCTGCCTGTGATGCTGGCATCCCATATTGACAATAGTTCGAGTCCCAGCTGCTGCACTTCTGATCCACTCTCTGCTAAACCGCATAGGAGAGCAGAAGATGCCCCAAGTAACTGGGCCATTGCACCCATGCGGGAGACCCAAATGAAATTCCTAGCTCCTGGCTTTGGCCTGGCACAGCCCTGGCTGTTGTGGCTATTTGGGGAGTGAACCAGCGATGGAAACCTCTCTCTGTCTCTGTCTTTCTCTATGTGTGTCTCTCTCCCTTCTCTTTCTGTATAACTCTGCCTTTCTAATAAATAAATAAATCTTGAAAAAAATAAATTCTTCTCTTATAAATATTTCCTTCTTCCTTACATTCCATTATACCTGACTGTTACATTCCCAACTCTGGATGGATATAACCTATTCCTGGCAATCCAGGAATTGAGCTGTTAAACTCAACTGGAAAATGAAAGCACACAAAATTCATGATGATACACTTCAAGTAGGCATTCAACACTTTCTGCTCATTATACCCTATTTCTCCATTAAGAGTAGTGATAACTTCAGACTCAACTGAAATTTGCCTGCCCATGCCCTCTCCCTCCAATCTCAGATAATGCTATGTGCTTCCAGAGAAAATGAACACATTCAGTAGGAACTCCCTCAGCTTTCATCATGATCCCTATAAATCTACCTACATATATATTCTGCTCTTCTCCTAATAAAATAGGGCAAATATCCCCCCTTTGTGTCAAAGGCCTGTTCTTCCACACGTGCTCTGTAGCAGGGGTGGGAAAGGTATAAGGCTGGCAAAATCTTTTCTTCTGACCCTGACAAGGCAATTGCAGGGCAGCACTCCAAATTCAGTAAATCCACGGCAGGCTAATCTTTAAATTGAACATTTTCTATGGCCTGTGAATGATGTTATAAATGTCCAAATGACCTGTGACAGAAAAAAGGTACCCGACCTCTCCTCTGTAGTCTGCCCCCTACTACCACTCCCACCCATCTCCTGGGTATGAGTGTATGTGTATAAAAAATTTCATGTATTTTAAATATAATTATATGTGTATATGCATATATGTATGCATATATACATATATGTATGTATATATATGTATATAAACATATATGTGTGTATACACTCACACACATATTAAGGGCCATAGTAATACTTCCCATTCTCTCCTCCCTGCCACCAACAATCCCACCCTCCACCCTCCTTCCTTTCTTACTTTTTAAAATTTTTACAATGAAGTTCCTCAAGTTTATTTTATAATCATAAGCTTAACCCCCACTAAGCAAATAATTCAACAAATACTAACAAGAAAAAAACACTGTTCCTCAATAGTATAGACAAGGGCTGGAAATAGTTAAAAAAAACTCAAAATGTCAACTTAGCTCATATACATTACATTTTTTGTGCTATATTAGCTACCACAGATCAGTGAAAACATGACATTTTTCTTTTAGACTGGCTTATTTCACTAAGCATAGTGGTTTCTAGTTGTAAACATTTTGTTGTAAAAGACAGGATTTCATTCTTTTAAAGGTTGAGTAGAATTCCATAGTGTATACATTCCATAAAGTCTTTATCCAGTCATCAGTTATTGAACATAT